CTTAGGTCCAGACCATACAGAGAGACCTGCTGTTAAAAAATCCCTCATGGTTACTGGATCTGAGGGGATACTTAATCTTGACATCATTAAAGGCTATAGAGTTTATAATTATAGTAATATGTTGGTAATACAAGCCACTGAGGCTCAGCCTCCAAAAGACCGTGAGCAGAAAAGCATTCAGATAAAACATAACATTAGCAGCTTTGTGTAGAGTCATAACTTTTTACTTTCTGAAGCTCTATGGTTGAAATGCTTCCTAAAATCCATGTTCACATGTTTTTCCTCCTACTGTCCTCTAAGCCTCACAGCACCGAGCTCAGCTCCTCCTTCACCCTCCTGTCGCCTCACGCCGTCCTCAGACTTCGTTTCCCCATACCTGATCTGCGGCCCCTCCCAAAGCGTCGGCCTCCAACCCAGAGGGCGGTGCGGCAGGAAACCTTGGTGTTGGAGATGACAGAGTTTGAGCTGAAGCACCAGGAGGCCCCAGACCTGCAAAGTGAGCAGACTACACCGGGACAGCCGTGGGCCCCCTGCCTCACCCAGCTGCTGGAGGCCTCCTTCACCGACCTGCACGGTGGGAACACAGTTGTTGTTTCTCAGTGAAGATTCTTGACAGGAGGAACCAAAGCTAGATGACTAGATTACTGACCACTGTTTAGCAAAGACAGTCCGATGTACTTTTAGTGTTAAATTTAGTTATTAAGGACTTCTGGAAACAATAAACTGTATCTTTAATCTTAAATTAGCGCTATATTAAAAAAAAAAGAGAGACCTGTGTCTTTCTGTACATAAAGTTATGTCATATACAAGTGTCTTTTATAATGAATGCAGACATTTTCATATCTGGCGTTTTATATTGATGTACCCATCCAAATTGTGTTTTTACCGGCTTGGTTTCTAAGATTATAGTTTAGTTAATAATTCCTTTAGTCTGATATTTAGAACTCAGTTTAATTTCCCAATGTCTTGTGTCTCACCAGGGTCATATGAGGGCTGGGAGGGAGGCTCTTTCCCTTGTATCAGAGTGAGGAAGAACCGGGACACTCTGCCCAGGTTAGTCCTTCTGATCATCAGTGGATCATCATCTTATGATGCTCATGAAGACCATCAGAAGAACACAATAAATGTGTTTTCAGTTATGGGAAGATTATAAAATATAATAAAAATGTGAAGATCTTTAATAAACTGAATTAGCATTTCCCCCTTTTGAGGCTGTGACCAAATTGTCTTCTCTTCAAATATTCACCAGCCCTTTTTTTCAGATACAGAAGCCAAAAGATAATATGTGTAATTCACGAAATTTGAGATGCGGAACTACATGTTTTAATTTTAACTTCACTGTTCAGGAGTCTGGTTCTTTCGGTACGATAAGGAGTGGCAACACTCGTGAGACAACTGAAGGCAAAGCTGATTTTCTTCATTATTCTTTCTCATCACTCATAGTCAGCTTTCCTCACGTCTTTGTGAACAGGATATCAGTGCGTGTGCGTGGAGGTGAGGCTCAGGGCCCAGCAGCTGGTCTGAGTGGCATGAACGCGGGCCTCATCAGGGACCTTGGTGCCGCCTTCTTTGATAGTCACTGTGAATTCAACGACAAAACGAGCTCTCCTTTTTCCTCCAACCGCACCATGTTTGAGACCGAGGAGGTGTGCTGACACACACAAAAACATGACACATCCCAGTTTATAAACCATCTCAGCCATCCATGTTCCTCCTCGCCTCACCTCTCCTCCCTGTGTGTTTTAGATGGTGATTCCAGCCGACCCGGAGGAGATGCGTCAGTTTCAGGAGCAGTGTGTCGCTCAGTGTCAGTGTGCTGTGGACATCAGCATGCCACTAGCTTATATCCTGCTCCCCAGCAAACAGGCCTTCCAGAGCATCTATAACAGGTATGTAAAAAGTATCACAAGACCATTGTTTGCCCTCCCAGTTTAGAATAATCCAGGTGTCCTTAA